TGGGCTTTTCTCTGTATCTATGAAGCGCCTTGAGGCGACATTTGTTGTGATTTGGCGCTATATAAATAAAATTGAATTGAATTGAATTGAACAGGAAGCCAAAGAAGAGAAGCTAACGTGGGAGAAATCTGCTCTCTGTCAGTTTAAGGCCCAAAGTGAGGAATCTAATAAACAATCTGCCTAATATCCACACGTTATCTCAAGAAAGACATCAAAGGAAATCCACAAACTTTAATGAAATTTAAACACCAAATGGGGAATTGTTTTGCTCCAGTGTCAGAACCAATTTAAAACGAGTAAGTACTGTCACAGTGGAAATTTCAGCCTTGCATGACAGCTTCCTGCCATCATTGTGTGCATGAATAGAAGATCGCACTGACGAGCGAAACCCTGAGAGATAATAACATTGATTATCTGATTGGAAGGATTTTCTAGAAAGCATGAAGACTTTTACAAACCTGCTGTGGCCAGATGATTAGCATCTGTAAAGCAGCAAGGCCAAGCTTCATAAGTTATTCTGGTGACAGGTTCAATTCGATTCATTTACATGACGCCAAATCACAACAACAGTTGCCTTGAGCTGCTTTATATTGAAAGGTTAACCCGGTGCAACGCACAGGAAAGCCCAACAATCACGAGCTGCACTTTGACAACAGTGGGAGGAGAATAAGGCGTCCTTCAGAACCAGGAGACTGGTGGTGGTCGTGAAATTCAAATTCAGCTGTTTATCAATGAAAGAAAGGTATAAACAGCTGTGCACTCACTGGGTGTGAATAAAGGCATTTCTGTTTCTCCTGCAGCTGAGCTCTTCGAGAAGCCAGAAGTCAGTGACATCAAGTTCCTGTTTTTAGTGGGCGGCTTTGCCGAGTCTCCCTTGCTGCAGCAAGCTGTCCAGAACATGCTTCAGGGCCGCAGCCGCATCATCATTCCCCACGACGTTGGCCTGACCATCCTGAAAGGCGCTGTCCTGTTTGGCCTGGACCCCAGTGTGATCAAAGTCCGCCGCTCGCCACTCACGTACGGGGTTGGTGTCCTCAATCGTTTTGTGGAGGGGAAGCACCCACCGGAGAAGCTGCTAGTTAAAGATGGAACGCGCTGGTGCACGGACGTCTTCGACACCTTCATAGCCGCGGACCAGTCTGTGGCGCTTGGCGAGATGGTCAAGCGGAGCTACACGCCGGCGAAACCTTCCCAGCAGGTTATCGTCATCCATGTTTACTGCTCTGAGAAGGAGAACGTGAGCTTCATCAGCGAGCCCGGCGTCAGGAAGTGTGGGACACTGCGCTTAGACGTGAGCGGAACAGAAAGCACAGCGGCACGCCGAGAGATCCAGACGCTCATGCAGTTCGGCGACACGGAGATCCGAGCCATGGCGGTGGACGTGTCGACCGGACGCACTGTCAAAGCTAGTATTGATTTCCTCAGCCATTAAGTATCAAAAGAGAAGTCCAGTCGGAGCTGTGGAGACGCTAACAGCTTACACTTAGACACAAACACACACCTGTGTGTGCTGGGAAGGTTCAGTCGTTTCAGCACTAAAGTGATGATGTGTGCAAACTTAAACATTCAGCTTTAGCGTATCATCGAGGTAAGAAGAGAGGCACTAATGAGAGCTTAGTCTGTTTTAGGTTCGTCACTTCACCACATCTGTCGAGTTTCGTGGGTAAGCAGCTTTCTAGTGGTCATCCCCTCCAAGGAAACCCCCGAACCCAGCGATGATAACAGCTCCTGACAGAAGCTTCTTCATACTTTAATCTATGTTATGCAGATCTACTGCCTCTGGCACAGAGAGGAGCACACACGGTCAATTCATCTTTGTTGTTCTGTTCTGAGACGATGAAAAGGTCAGGATACATCCTCAGAAGAGCTCCACAAAAATATCTTAATGTTCTTCTATATAAACTCGTGTCATGTTAGTTCTGCAATATTCAGCCCTTTGAATGGTTCCCTCGAGGGCCAAACACAGTTTTCCTTATATATGGCCAGTCTGCCCACTGGACGACAAGCATCTTCCATTTGTGAGATTGCTAGCTTAAAAATAACTAGCATTACTATGTAAAATGTTCAGCTGTGGAGGATTGATGCCAAGTGTTAACGCTGTGACATCTTTGGGTAGCTGCTACGAGTGAAACAACGCTGACTCGCTGACATTTACCAAAACTAAAGTTACAGATATTCACTATATCATTCTTAACACGCAAAAATATTAATTTGAGTCATTTGCTCATTTCCCATTAATGGGAGATGTGAGAGTAGTTCATGTTTTTAGATTGAATTTAGCTTCCAGCATGGGCCGACTCTCACTGTCAGGTTCATTATTACAATCTATGAACAACATCCTGCATAGACGTTTAATACTTACATACATAAGAGATCATATTTGTGCTTCGCCTGTAGCAACGTACTTTCTGTTTACAGCCTCGTGTAGGGTTTGGTGCACTCATGGTAGTCACTGTACATCTGCAGAAATATGGGTTTTTACTCAACCGAGGTTGCTGATTTTTTCATCTTTTATTAGCCTTCGTCCACCGCTGGAGTGGAAAGCTTCTTCTACCAGGAAAAACATGCTGCCCTCTTCATGCTCTGGTTTCATGATCAAGCCTTTAGACCCAGTACTGCACAGACGAAGGTAAAGGCTGAAGGTGTGGTGCTTCTATTGCAACTACATTTATAGTAGTATATTTATAAAGTATATAGCCACTTTAACCATTAGGCTGAATCATGCAAAAGCACCAGCTTGGCCCTTTGATGTAATCCAGTCTTGTATCTGATTCCAGTAATGTGAAATGTGCTGCAAGCTCAATCCTAAAGAGAGAACAACCACCAATCTGCTTAACCGTGGCCTTTATTAGTTTTTGCTTCTGATTATCAGCTGTGGAGAGAATGACCCCGCCCACTCGACCTCTTTGCTTGCACGTATCAGGTGCAACAGGCCAGTTGAGGCAAACAACAGTGTATTTATTTCTGTAAATACAGTATTTAAATATTGTACAGATTTTTAGCATCGTACGAGCAATTTCAAAGCCAAGAGTGCATATGTCTGTTTTTGTGTACGTGCACATGAAGGAGAGAAGAAAGCTCGTTCTGTCACATGGACATCCTCAACATTTCTTTCTCACCAGAGCGTGAGAGTTAGAGGCTTTTTGTGTTTCTTCAAAGACCGGATGCGTCACCTTACTGTCACTTTGCAATCACACAAAAAACTTGAATACCTTTGTCCTTAAAGATATTTCAGCCCGTAGGGTTACATGGTTCCACGATCTGAACGTGCACGGCCCAGTTGGACCGCACACATTCAGATTCTCTTCATTAAAGTGTGAGGCACAGTCACCAATAATCATACAGGTAAAATCTCCAAAAAAGTCTCAATCATGATAGTGCCTAGCATGAATAAACGTGATGTTCACATCCTGTCACCACCAAGAACATACAGTGCTTACTTTCACCTGCAGCTCGGTTCATAAAGACATCGTTTGTCCCTCAGTGGAGGAAGATCCGTATTTGAATGAGCAGAATTGGAATGTGCAAAACCTGATTTCATAGCTTAGCCTGTTTTTGACTTAAGATTAATTTGTTGAAACGTCAGATTCAGACTTTAACTGTTGGCCTTTCTAGTCTCAATGTTGCACAGATGTAGGAGGCAGTCTGCCCTTTAACAGTCGTTGCATTAGCGCCACATTATTGTTTAAATTTCATGCTTTGGAAAGTTACAAATACATGCTTTAAGAAACAGTGCAAGTACTTTGATGTAAACTCAGTATACATCAGCACCCCCAGGTGCTGTCATTAGAGTGGCACCTGTGGAGCACACTGACAGAGTCAGCAGGAGATTTAGGAGGAGAAACACTCAAACAAACTCCCTTTGGGTTGTTGGATTATATAATCACACTTTTTGAATTTTTTGGTCCAGATATGCAGCAGTTATGAGTTGTGTCTGAATTATTACGGATTTCCTTTGATCCTTTGTTTGAACTGTGAATTAAAGCTGGTCTCGCCTTTCAGTGTAAGTGTACAAAGCTGCACAAGCTCCAGTGCCCTCTGCTGTCTTCAGCACTCTTTCTGCACGTTTTGCATGTGTCACATAGGAATGGCTGCTATTACTAATACACAAAACCACGCTTAACTACTGATGTTTACTCTGGTAGTGTCCTCTTTTTGAGCTCTGGTGTTTGAGCTCAAACGATGGCAGCTCGTAACAAACACTGATAATGAACTAATAACCTTTTATTTTACACGTCTCTGCGTTCACGAAGCATAAATGTAAGACTCTAATAGCACCGTGGTTTTCTTGTTTAACATTAGATGATTGCTATGTGTTTTGTACACCTTTGAGTGTTATGTTATGCACAGGGTACTGTTATGTAGCAGCTTTTTACCTAAAGCTATAACAAGATTAGCAGAAGACATATTTAGCTGACTTTAGCTGACTTTATTCTTGGCGTGTGAAGCATCATTTTTGGTCAATGAGTCAATGATTTCAGGTTATTTGGATGTGATTTGAGTAGCACTCTAGTCAGCTTGCGTTGTCTTTAAGCATCTCCTTAAGACTCTCTAGAAAATCCAAGAATTCAGAAGATTTCTCAGCTAAAATCACAGAGCTTGTTGTAAGGATCACCTCAGCCACTCTGGAACGCAAAAACTAAGCAAACGTTATTGTTTAAGCAAAGACATTTTTATGTTTATTATTTTTCATGCAGTACTATGTGTATTTTACCAATGCCAGATATTCACTGTCACTAATAAAATGTTTATTTCAAATTGTTTGCTGTACTTTCTTTAGCTTAGTTAAAATGGGGTCATTTCACAGGTCTTAGTAGCAGAGCCAAGGCAACCAACAATTAAAATGTTAAAGTTATGCAAAGTGTGTTTATCTATGCTAACATGTGCAACCACAGCCTGCGTGTTACTGGAGTTAAAAATGTATGATTAGCAATCTAATTTTAGATTTAGACCTTTGTATTTCCTAACACACCGACCAACGCTTTCATGGTTTTATCAGCAGGTCTGTTAGAGCCAAGCTGACAACATCTGAAGAATAATGGCTGCATGTTTGTGAAGCAACACTGCCACCAAGTGGCTCTAATGCGGAATGAGCTGCCTCTACCCTGGTTTTATTATTGTGAGATGTCAAGGACTCCACTTTTTTAAAAGAAAAAAAGTTTGCTAGTAGGACTAGCGTGTTATTTTTGACATGAGTTCTCAAAGCACTGCAGACCTCATTTTAAAGGCTGCAAGTAATTTCCATTTTCATTGAATTTAGTTAATTATTTAGGAGATTAATTAATTACCATTAATTAATGTAATTATTTTTTTATTTTTTTAAATTTAAATATAAAATTATTATTATTATTATTATTATTATTATTATTATTATTATTATTATTAATTTAAATATAAAATAAAAATTGTTATTTTTTTTTTTTAATTTAAATAAATTTTTAATTAATTTAATTACCATTAATTTCCATTTTCATTGAATTTAGTTAATAATTTAGGAGATTATGTGGGAACTGCACCAGACGTGGGAAGTTACAAATTAAAAATACTTCACTGTATTTAAGTGTAGGGGAAAGTGGTCTTGTTTCTGCAAAGCCATAGAGGAAATTGGTCATGTGACTGCACATTTTTGAAGAGTCAACCATTTTACTTATCCTGCAAGGAAGAGAGCCTCATTGCAACAAAGCCAAATCCTACGACTACGCTGGATTGGTTGAGATGGTTGATGGTTCCAACAGTGGTGCCAGTTTTTAAGGTCAAGTAGTAATAGGTCTGTGAATGGAAAGCCCAGCTTCACTTTCAAAGGAGATGATGATGGAGTCATCCCTAGTGTATAAAAACCCACATCACAAAAACTTGGTGGTAGTGGGTAGCATCAAAGAGTGGGATGTTATGAAGTAGGCCAGATCTGTGAAGACAATTGCAGTTCATTTCGTCTTCATTTGAATTTCATTTTGTTCTGAACATGTGGCCGTGTGGCGCTAGGCCTTGTTTAAGAAAATTGACTGTGGATGTGCTTATGTGGCGCAACTGGCTTTTATAACTTACCCCGCACTGGGGGCAAGGTGTGCCACAAGACCACTTTGTTTCGGATCCACAGTGATTGTTCCCAGGGATGCACAACATCCTGAAACATCCTGAAATATAAGTACATGTTTTAGTTGGAAGCATTACAGTCATGGCCTCACTGTAAGTAAAAACTGGCACAACTCACCCCACTCTCTCCTAATTTTAAAGGGTCTTTGATTTATTTGTCTGAGCCTTCTAATACTTAAAAGTATTTGTTGGGCAGGCAAAAAGTCACTGATTTTGATTCTAGCTAACAAATGTCCGGTTGGTTGGCCATCACCATTTTGTCCATCTGTAACTGGAAATCTCAAATTATCTTAGATGCTTGCTGGCATCTCCAATCAGGAATTCCCACACCCGCCGATCCAAAGTCCCCCCGCCCATTCCCGGCCCAGTACCTGTGTGCGGAAGGCACTGAAGAAGATGAAGAGTGGAAAGGCAACCGGACCAGATGACATCCCAGCCAAAATATGGAAGATGCATTCCTAGTGGATCTCCTTAATCGTATTGCAGCCGAGAACAAGCCTTCCCAGGCCTGGACAACCAGCACCACCATGCCGATCTGGAAAGGCAAGGAGAATGTCAGCCAGTGCACCAACTATGCGTCGATTCGACTACTCTGTCATGCCATGAAAGTCTTTGAGCGAATTCTGAATAAATGCCTTCGTGATATCGTTGAGCTTACCCCAAACCAGTGTGGATTTGTCGAGGGCTCCAGCACCACGGATGCCATTCATGCTGCTCGACTGCTTATGGAAAAGCACAGGGAGAAGAACGGGATGGCGCATGTGGCATTCTTGGACCTGGAGAAGGCTTTCGACCGCGTCCCACACAGCCTTATCTGGAAAGCACTTAGGTCACATAGCATCCCAGAAGAATAAGTGCAATGGATGCAGCTACTCAACCAGAATGTCACCAGCAAAGTCATATGCCCTGCAGGTACCTCGTCACCGTTTAGCATCACTATCGGCGTCCACCAAGGTTCAGCCCTGTCACCCCTGCTGTTCATCCTCTGCATGGACACAGCAATGGCCGACCTACAATCACAAATACACTGGAGCTTCCTTTACACTGACAATGTTGCATTTGCCGACCCAGACCACCTGCCCCTCCAAGAGCAGTTGCAGGAGTAGAAGGACCGGCTGGAAGAAAGTGGAATGCACCTGAACACCAAAAAGATGGAGTACCTAAAATGTGGCCCTCAGACTCTGGGATTGATCCAGATTGACGGCCAGGAATTAAAGAAGACCACAGAATACCCTGGTCTGCGTGGACAGTGAGACCCTCGCGGATGTGCTCTTATGAGTCAACGCAGCATGGCTTAAATGACGTGAATCGACCTGCATCCTGTGTTATCAGAGGATGCCCGAACACCTCAAAGCTAAGATCTACAAGGCAGTCATATGGCCGGTGGCCCTATAGGAGCAGAATGCTGGCCAGCCACCAAGAAACATGAGCAGATCCTCACTGCTGTGGAGATGAAGATGCTCAGGTGGATGGTGGGCTTAACTTGCCTGGATTGTGTGGGGGAGATATCGTCACCCCCACCTGAGATTGGGTACCACGCCCCAAGTGCAAGAGGAGAAGGATCATTGACTGTGAGAGGAACTGACCTGAAAGGTAGGATCATGGCCAAGCTTGAAACCTGGACCCCCGTAGCCGGTTACCAAGACTGCGTGAAGTAATTCAATTCAATTCTACTTATACAGCACCAAATCACAACAACAGTCGCCTCAAGGCGCTTTATATTGTACATA